GAGTGCTCTACCACTTGAGCCACAGCGCCACTTCCAGTTTTCTGGTGGTTAACTGAATATAAGAGTCTCATGAACTTTCCTGTCTGGGCTGGCTTTGAATCATGATCCTCAGATCGCAGCCTCCTGAGTGGCTAGGGTGACAGGTGTGAGCCACTGGTGCCGGAGGCCCATGTGTTTTTTGCAGAGGGGAGGTCTTCCAGGGTGCTAACCACCCCAGAATATTCAGGTTGCCCCTCTCCCAGCCCCTCCCACCGAGGCTGAGAAGCTTCGTTGCATGCTACGCTTTGCAGCACCCGTGTGTGCCTAGTGTCATTTGTCTCCTCGTCCAATTTAGAATTTCCAGAACACCTGGGAGCTGGACTGCAAAGCCCTCAGCCTCAGGCTCCTCACGCAGCACGTGGGAATGCTGAAGCTTGCTTTGTCCGGAGAATTGCATCTCTGATCATCTCTTCTCTTCCCCCTGACCCTAGGAAAGGCCACTCTGGTTGGCTTTTCTGCATTTGTTTGACTTCGGAGTGGCCTGTAGGGCCCCAGTGCCACCATTTGGGCCCTGCAAAGGAGGCAGAGTAGTGTCTCCATGGTCTCTGTCCCCGCTGGTCTCATCTCCTTGTCTGCTCCCTTGGGACACACGGTGACATGGGTATTTGATTGTGTCTGTGTGTTCACTCTACTTTATTCCTCCCGAGGACAGACACTATGCTTGCCTGTGTACCTGGCACACTGCCCCATGCAGGGCACATAAAAGGACCTCAGAAGTTCACTTGTGAAATGTACCAATGAAAAGGCAGAGAGGAGAGAGAAGAGAGCGGGGAGGGGGGGAGGGATAGACATGGAGATTGGAGAAAAAAGCCATGGAGAAGAGGCCTGCAAAAATGAATGCTAATTGTTGAGAGATTCCAACAGAAAAGGGAAATGGGAAACTGGAGGGTCTAAGCTGAGCATGATGTAGCAGACTGAGGGAGAGGAAGGCGAGGAGAGGACAGGGAGAGGAAGGGGAGGGCCAGAGGGAGGGGGAAGGGGCAGTGAGGGAGACAAGCGCAGAGCCTAGGGAACCGGGCTCATTGAGATCTCAGTGCTGGGATTGCAGAGAAAACCGCCTGCAGTAGCAGAGCCTTGAGGCTGGGAGCGCAGGGATACAGGAGTGGTTTCCATGGAGACAGGGATGCTCCAGGCATGAGTGAAGACAAATTACAGCAGGGCCAGCCACTCTGACACCCAGGAGAGGAAGAGGGAGAGGAAGGGGAGGGACAGTGTGTGTGTCCCCTACCCAGCCGCTTCCCCATTCTGCCACTCCTTGGAGATTGGAAGCTCTTCAGAAAGGTCCTGGGGGTGCCAGAGGAGGGGGCAGGGCCTGCCTGATCCCCTCCCTTCCCCCACCATTGACCCTTATACCCTCTCTGCTTGGGTACTGGAGGGTCTGCAGGGGTTTGTGGGGACACAGATGGTCCAGATTTTTCTGCAGGCTCCTCTTCTTTTCATATGACAGCACACAGTGCACAGGACTAACTCCTGGACTTCTCCAGGGCAGAAAGGAATTTAAATACCCATAGGTGCCTGCAGTTTCCAATTTGCACCTGCAGCCTGGTTGTCCACTGAGCTTTGTACTTGCCTCTCTATTTGGATGTCCAGCAAGCATCCTCAGACTGTGGAGTGTAGCTCACCTGGCTCGCCCTCGCTCGGAGGTTTGCACTTTCCACTCCCTTTCCCAGGAACTCTATGTCTCAGTCCTCAAGGGGTGGTGACCCCACGAAAGTAGAGAATTATCTTGGCAGAGGCACACACTGGAGGGGGGAGGAAGCCACACCAGAACATGGGCCAGGTCATGGCGCCATGGGGGTCCAGCATCAGAAGCAGGAGCTGGCGCTGGACTATGGGAGAGGACTAGCTCTGGGCCACGGGGAGGACTGATGCTGGACCACGGGAAGGACTGGTGTGGGGGCCACGGGGAGGACTGGCGCTGGACCACGGGGAGGACTGGCTCTGCCCCACGGGGAGGACTGGCGCTGGGCCACGGGGAGGACTGGCGCTGGACTACGGGGAGGACTGGCGTGGGGGCCACGGGGAAGATTGGTGCTGGACCACGGGGAGGACTGGCGTGGGGGCCATGGGGAGGACTGGCGCTGGACCACGGGAAGGACTGGTGTGGGGGCCACGGGGAGGACTGGTGCTGGGCCACGGGTAGGACTGGTGCTGGGCCACGGGGAGGACTGGTGTGGGGGCCACGGGGAGGACTGGCGCTGGGCCACGGGGAGGACTGGCGCTGGGCCACGGGGAGGACTGGCGCTGGGCCACGGGGAGGACTGGTGTGGGGGCCACGGGGAGGACTGGTGTGGGGGCCACGGGAAGGACTGGTGCTGGACCACGGGGAGGACTGGTGTGGGGGCCACGGGGAGGACTGGTG